GTAGGACCGCATCAAGACTCTGTGGGGAGTCCACCCACCGATTACGGGAGCTCTGCCGGAACCTAGGCGAGGTTCTGGAGGCAGGGAACCATCAGGTATATCATCTTTCTATTTGTATGACCCCACTATACCCCTGTTTGTTTATCTCCCTTTCGTTTGGCTGATGTATGTATGAGATTATCCCTATGATTCTGCTTTTTGTTCAGGATTAATCAGATTGAATGGAAAGAATGTATGGGAGTGAAGCCTAAGTTTCATCTTTGTTTTGACTGAAAGCAGACTAAGGGATGAACAGGGGGGAAGGTGGGAAGAAGGTAGACTGCATGCGTTTGACCGGGTCAACCAAAGACTGGGCATTGTTTCTAAGATGAATGGCCCAGGGCTATGTTTATTTGGCTGTTTTCTGAAGCGCCAGGCATGGTTTCTAAGCTGAATGGCCGGGTTGCTATGTTTATTTTCTAAGGGTTGCCTGATGAGAAGGGATTTTCTTATTTTGTTCTGAGGGAAGATTTTGGTCTAAGGTTGAGCATTGTTTCTAAGCCGAATGGCTTAGCCTGAAAACCACGCACGTAAGTACAACCTAAGTATAAAATAAAGTACTTTACTTATATTTGCATGCGAATTGGCAGTTGGGCATTGTTTCCAAGCCGAATGGCCCAGCGCTAAGTCATATCATTAGGAGGAGAAGAAAAATTACAAAGTATAATTGGAAATAATATGGGCAAGCTGAACATTGTTTCCAAGCCGAATGGTTCAGTCTCTTGCCCACATTTGCTTTTTCTTTTGAGAACAAAATCAGAGAATTATTAAACTTGGGATATTGAACAGTTCAGGGCGGCTAGGCATTGTTTCCAAGCCGAATGGTCTAGTCAAATGCCCAAAGAAGAGAAAAGTAGTAGCGCAACCTATTCGTGTATATCTTAAGGCACACTGGACATTGTTTCCAAGTCGAATGGTCTAGCATTTGTGCCATATGTAAGTAGGGTATAACGGATAACGTATCTGAAGACTCATGAATTATCTTATGTGAAATAACTTGGGATGGTGAGAGTACTTACTTTTGTGGTTTGGCTTGCATGTGACTGAATACGACTACTGCTTAGTATGAAGTTTCAGTTTGATAGGTGGTTGCTTTAGTTGTTCGCCACGTGCTAGGTTTCAGTTTGATAGGTAGTTGCTTTAGTTGTTCGCCACGTGCTAGAGCCATAGGAGTTAGTTTTAATTCCTGCATTTTCTAGACTAAGTATATTTTTACTTAGGTTGATTTCTGCATTTTTCTGGGATCATTTATTATACTTGGTCTTGTATAAATTTTGGTAAGCCACTTTCTCTACGGGAAGC